CCACTCATGTCTAAATCTAAATTTATACAATTTGAGTCCTTGTTTACGAGTTGACACTTTATTTGTTGCATTCAACACTGTAGAACCGGCTTCCACGGCATTGTTTTCCGTGTCTTTAGAATGCCTTAATATTTAATTATTTATATAAACTCTGAACACACTTATGTATGATGGTACAAGGAAGGTGGTAGTGATTGGGCTACGTGCCCCCCCCCCCCTTACTGACAGCTGTAACTGTTAGAGGAAAGCGCCAAGCCATCACGACTATATAGCACTTGGAGCGGGTCACGATAAGGATTTGGGATGGGACGGAGGGAAGGAATGGTGCCCAACCACTTGGACGGTCGGGGAATTGAACGGCGACCTGCATGAAGCGAGACTGTCGCTCTACCGATGGAGAGGGCGAGAGGGGGAGTGCGACAGGTCCATGCAACAAGTGCTTGCAACAGTCATTGGTTAATACTAAGGTGGGACTCAACCCTACAATGGTCATGTCTTGGCACCTTGCACAAGATGGCACCGGAAGCAACAAGACCTTCCGGGTTACAACACTGTGTTGATAAGGCTGTGTGTGTGTGTGTGTGTGTGTGTGTGTGTGTGTGTGTGTGTGTGTGTGTGTGTGTGTGTGTGCCAGCAGCCTTCAACCCCTCCCCCCCCCTGCTGAGGCAACTCTACGGTTGTGTGGTGGTGGGGTTTGTGTTTTTAAGACGGCCGCCACCACAGCCGGTACCACAGCCGCAGCCGCCACCACAGCCACCACCACCACAGCCACCACCACCACCACAGCCACCACCACAGCCACCACAACAGCCACCACCACCACAGCCAGCACCACAGCCACCACCACCACCACAGCCACCACCACAGCCAGCACAACAGCCACCACCACAGCCACCACCACCACCACAGCCACCACCACAGCCACCACCACCACAGCCACCACCACCACCATAGCCACCACCACCACAGCCACCACCACAGCCAGCACCACAGCCAGCACAACAGCCACCACCACAGCCAGCACAACAGCCACCATCACAGCCACCACCACAGCCAGCACAACAGCCGCCACCACCACAGCCAGCACAACAGCCACCACCACAGCCACCACCACAGCCACCACCACCACCACAGCCACCACCACAGCCAGCACAACATCCACCACCACATCATCACAGCCATCACCACATCCACCATCACAGCCACAACCACCACAGCCACCACCACAACCACCACCACAGCCACCACCACCACTACAGCCACCACCACAGCCACCACCACCACAGCCACCACCACAACCACAGCCACCACAACCACCACCACAGCCACCACCACAACCACAGCCAGTATCACAACCACAGCCACCTCCACCGCCACCACCACCACAACCGCCACCACAGCCACCACCACCACAGCCACCACCACAGCCACCACCACCACAACAGCCGCCACCACCACAGCCACCACCACCACAGCCACCACCACAGCCGCCACCATCACCACAGCCACCACCACAGCCACCATCACAGCCACAACCACAGCCCCCACCACAGCCACCACCACATCACCACATCACCATAGCCACCACCACATCACCATAGCCGCCACCACACCACATACCATATTACATCCACCACCACCACATTCACCACATCCACACCACATCCACCACCACCACAGTCTTCCCGTGCAAGTCTACTTTAATATTTAAAGTCTATCTCCATCCCCCCTCCCCCCATCCCTCTCCCCCCTTCTCTCTCTCCCCTTCTCACTCTCTCCCTCTCTCCCTTTTTCTCTCTCTCCCTGTCTCTCTCTTTAATAAAAGGATGCACAAAAGATAATTCAAATGGCAGCTAGTAAGAGGCAAGCGTGTGGTGGAGGTCAGGGGCCGGCTACTGCTTCTTGAAGGTTGATGGGCGCGCGGAGCCTACCTTCCCTGCCCTGTCAGGGCCGCCCTGCCTCCCTGCCCTGCCCTGTCTGGGGCGCCCTGCCTCCCTGCCCTGCCCTGTCTGGGCCGCCCTGCCCTGTCTGGGGCGCCCTGCCTCCCTGCCCTGTCTGGGCCGCCCTGACTCCCTACCCTGTCTGGGCCGCCCTGACTCCCTACCCTGTCTGGGCCGCCCTGCCTCCCTGCCCTGTCTGGGCCGCCCTGACTCCCTGCCCTGTCTGGGCCGCCCTGACTCCCTACCCTGTCTGGGCCGCCCTGCCTCCCTACCCTGTCTGGGCCGCCCTGACACCCTACCCTGTCTGGGCCGCCCTGCCTCCCTGCCCTGTCTGGGCCGCCCTGCCTCCCTACCCTGTCTGGGCCGCCCTGCCTCCCTGCCCTGTCTGGGGCGCCCTGACTCCCTACCCTGTCTGGGGCGCCCTGCCTCCCTGCCCTGCCCTGTCTGGGGCGCCCTGCCTCCCTACCCTGTCTGGGGCGCCCTGACACCCTACCCTGTCTGGGGCGCCCTGACTCCCTACCCTGTCTGGGGCGCCCTGCCTCCCTGCCCTGCCCTGTCTGGGCCGCCCTGCCTCCCTGCCCTGCCCTGTCAGGGGCGCCCTGCCTCCCTGCCCTGCCCTGTCTGGGGCGCCCTGCCTCCCTGCCCTGTCTGGGGCGCCCTGCCTCCCTGCCCTGTCTGGGGCGCCCTGCCTCCCTGCCCTGTCTGGGGCGCCCTGCCTCCCTGCCCTGTCTGGGGCGCCCTGCCTCCCTGCCCTGTCTGGGGCGCCCTGCCTCCCTGCCCTGCCCTGTCAGGGGCGCCCTGCCTCCCTGCCCTGCCCTGTCTGGGGCGCCCTGCCCTGTCAGGGGCGCCCTGCCCTGTCAGGGCGGCCTGCCTCCCTGCCCTGCCCTGTCTGGGGCGCCCTGCCTCCCTGCCCTGTCTGGGGCGCCCTGCCCTGTCAGGGGCGCCCTGCCTCCCTGCCCTGTCTGGGGCGCCCTGCCTCCCTGCCCTGTCCTGTCAGGGGCGCCCTGCCTCCCTGCCCTGCCCTGTCAGGGGCGCCCTGCCTCCCTGCCCTGTCTGGGCCGCCCTGCCCTGTCAGGGGCGCCCTGCCTCCCTGCCCTGTCTGGGCCGCCCTGCCTCCCTGCCCTGCCCTGTCAGGGGCGCCCTGCCTCCCTGCCCTGTCTGGGGCGCCCTGACTTAGTCCTGCCACCATCATCAGTACCACCACACTTACCAACACCTTCCGCGGCCACAACCACTCTCCCCTGAACACCAGGGGCCGGCCTACAGCAGGGTGCAGCAGCACCTACAGTGTGGCCTACAGCAGGGTGCAGCAGCACCTACAGTGTGGCCTACAGCAGGGTGCAGCAGCACCTACAGTGTGGCCTACAGCAGGGTGCAGCAGCACCTACAGTGTGGCCTACAGCAGGGTGCAGCAGCACCTACAGTGTGGCCTACAGCAGGGTGCAGCAGCACCTACAGTGTGGCCTACAGCAGGGTGCAGCAGCACCTACAGTGTGGCCTACAGCAGGGTGCAGCAGCACCTACAGTGTGGCCTACAGCAGGGTGCAGCAGCACCTACAGTGTGGCCTACAGCAGGGTGCAGCAGCACCTACAGTGTGGCCTACAGCAGGGTGCAGCAGCACCTACAGTGTGGCCTACAGCAGGGTGCAGCAGCACCTACAGTGTGGCCTACAGCAGGGTGCAGCAGCACCTACAGTGTGGCCTACAGCAGGGTGCAGCAGCACCTACAGTGTGGCCTACAGCAGGGTGCAGCAGCACCTACAGTGTGGCCTACAGCAGGGTGCAGCAGCACCTACAGTGTGGCCTACAGCAGGGTGCAGCAGCACCTACAGTGTGGCCTACAGCAGGGTGCAGCAGCACCTACAGTGTGGCCTACAGCAGGGTGCAGCAGCACCTACAGTGTGGCCTACAGCAGGGTGTGGTCAGCTCCACCACTGGGCTGGCTGGGGTGCAGCTCCGGGGTCACTGGCCTTCCACCTCTCACCCTTTGTTTACCTGCTCGGGCTTGTCCTCTTGACTCCGTGATGGCTACCGACCTTGTGTCTACCTTCCGGGGATCACCAGCGCCGCGGCCCGGTCCTCAACCAGGCCTCCTGGTTGCTGAACTGGTCAACCAGGATGTTGGACGCGGCTCCTCGCACCTGACGTTTGAGTCACAGCCTGGTTGATCAGGTATCCTTTGGAGGTGTTTATCTAGTTCTCTCTTGAACACTGTGAGGGGTCGGCCAGTTATGTCCCTTATGTGTAGTGGAAGCGTGTTGAACAGTCTCGGGCCTCTGATGTTGATAGAGTTCTCTCTCAGAGTACCTGTTGCACCTCTGCTCTTCAACGGGGGTATTCTGCACATCCTGTCATGCCTTCTGGTCTCATGTGATGTTATTTCTGTGTGCAGGTTTGGGACCAGCCCCTCTAATATTTTCCACGTGTAAATTATTATGTATCTCTCCCGCCTGCGCTCAAGACAATACAGATTTTGTACTTATTAATCTGTCCCAATTATTAACATGTCTTATGAAGATAATTATAGGGGGTAAAAGATATTTGCACGCTCTCCAGGTCAGCAACTTGTGCGGCTGTGAATGGGGCTGTTAGAGAGCAACAATATTCCACCCTAGAGAGCACTAGTGTGGTAAAGTATCATCAGTAGTATGACCTCCCTTGTTTGGAAGGTCCTTGTTATCCAACCTGTCATTTGTTCTTGTAGTCGTGACGGCTACTTTATTTTTTTCATTTCTTCCATAGCGCAGATGCTAGAACTTATTTTCATTAAGCATTATTATCTGTGGCCCATTGAAAGACCTGATTTACATCAGACTGGAGGTTTGTCGTGTCCTCTATATTGTCTACACGCATGAAGATCCTGGTGTCATCTGCAAATGATGATATAGTGCTGTAGTTTGTATCCTTGTCTATGTCTGATGTTAGGATGAGAAAAAGTACTGGAGCAAGCACGGTACCTTGCGGGACTGAGCTTTTCACAGTAGATGATCCGGATTTGACTGTGTTGACTATTACACTCTGCGTTCTGTTCGTTAGCAAGTTGAAGATCCATCTCCCTACTTTGCCAGTCATTGCTCTTGCACGCATTTTGTGCACAGTAACACCATGGTCATATGTCTCGAAGACTTTTGTAATGTCTGTGTCTATTACATCTGTGTTTTGCTTGTCTTCCACGGCACCTGAGGTCATGTCATAGTGGTCCAGCAACTGTATTTATCAAGAGCGTCCTGTTCTAAACCCGTGCTGTCCACGATTATGAAGATGTTGTGATTCCATGTGATTTGTATTCTCTCTCTTAGCACTCTTTTTCAAAGATTTGTATGACGTGTGAGGTTAGAGCTATTGGTGTATAATTTTTGGCATCTGCTTTACTGCCTCCTTTGTGAAGTGGCGCGATCTCCGCTGTTATAAGTATGTCAGGGATGACGCCAGTATGTAGGCTCCGTCTCCACAAGGTAAACACGGCCTGTGGTAGTGGTGTTTAGCACTCCTTGATGAGTATATAATGCCACGAGTCTGGGCCTGGTGCAGAGTGTATGGACATGCTGTCTATGGCTACTTCAGTCCAGAGGGGTTAGGGTGACAAATGATATGTAGCTCAAATAAGACTCACACTGTTGATGACTACCCTGGTTGTCATTGCCTGGTTGATCAGTCCAGCAACCAGGAGGCCTGGTCGACGACCGGGCCGCGGGGACGGTAAGCCCCGGAAGCACCTCAAGGTAAGGTGACCCTCACACCTCATGTGGCCCGCTCCAGCACCAGTGCAGTAATGCCCTGCTATAACGCCCTGACTCAACGAGCTGTTGTGGGAGCGTGCTTGTATGGCCGTCTTGGCCAGCCTCATTAATTCCGCTCCTCGTCCTGCCCTCTTGCCTGGGTGCTGCAGGTGCCCAGGGTATGGCGCCCGTGCCCCTGTGGGCGGTGGTGGGCGTTGTGGTGGGAGTCTTGAACACTGTGGGAGGTGGGACCGACGCCCTATCAACTGGACTATAAGCAGTCTTAAATATAAACCTATCTACCCCGAAATCATCTCAAGATAACCTCAAGATATAACCTACCTTGTGGCTACCTAGGAGGTTCCGGGATCAACGGCCCCGCGGCCCGGTCTCCGACCAAGCCTCCCAGTGGGTCGTCTGGTCAACCAGGGCCCGAGAAACAAGGCAGAACTTAGGCTGATCCAAACTCTCTTCAAACTGTTATCTTCCGGCCTACGATAGCTGGACCAGCCCGACATCTCACTTCGCTACTCTGTACAGATGACAACTTCTTGCCATATAGTAAGGCACGAACCCAACCAACCCACCTAACCTACAGCGACAGATTCTTAAGAGCGCGTCAGTTTTACGGTTAAGTTTGTCTAATACGACGCAGTTTCGACAGATTTTCACGAAGCGAGAGGACGGAGCGACGTAAGGCGCAAGGTGTGGGCGGAGGTCGTAATACTGGCATCGTACGACCTGCCGTACCGTCGTCGTAAGTCATGACTTAAGATGTGCCTGCTGCGTTATGTATGGGGAGGTGTGTGGGGGTCCCCCTGTCATGGGGGTGAGGGGGGTCCACCTGCCCGAGTACCGAGATGAGTCAGGACACATTATGAATATCCATAGCGTGACTCATTGATATATTTCGTGGTGAATGTCCGCATTTATTGATAACCCGATTCATTGATTTATTTAGTGGGGCTGAGAATGCATAGACATCCTCACCTTGCTTCATGGGGGCGCCCCTGCCTCACTCAGGCGCCCGTCCTCCTACAACCCGTCCTCCTCTGTTACGGCCACTGAGGACCAGTAACCGGGTTCTAGTTGGAGGAACCCATGTGTCGTATCCGACCCCGTGTCGGTAGTAAGCTTTCAAGAAAGTGGCTATATAGTCCAATATAAAGTGGAGCGGATGAACAAAGCTGTTCCTTTCACCAATGTATTATATATCTTCCCACCACCGTTAAGTATATATATATGTTTACCATCGCCATAAAATTTATATATATAGAACAGAAAGGCTGTTACTACACCTATGTACAATCCCAGCACTACTCAACAGGCACCTCCCTGTCGACAGTCTCTCACCTAAGCCAGTCTAAAAGGTACGCCCAGCTTTTCCAACACTAAAGCACTAGCATCTACCACACTGCTTCATCGGCGGCGGCTTACTTCGTCGTTTCCAGGACCATGTAGGGTGACTATGGACTGCTCAAGATGACCTGCCGTCTCCAGGACCATGTAGGGTGACTATGGACTGCTCAAGATGACCTGCCGTCTCCAGGACCATGTAGGGTGACTATGGACTGCTCAAGATGACCTGCCGTCTCCAGGACCATGTAGGGTGACTATGGACTGCTCAAGATGACCTGCCGTCTCCAGGACCATGTAGGGTGACTATGGACTGCTCAAGATGACCTGCCGTCTCCAGGACCATGTAGGGTGACTGTGGACTGCTCAAGATGACCTGCCGTCTCCAGGACCATGTAGGGTGACTATGGACTGCTCAAGATGACCTGCCGTCTCCAGGACCATGTAGGGTGACTATGGACTGCTCAAGATGACCTGCCGTCTCCAGGACCATGTAGGGTGACTATGGACTGCCCAAGATGACCTGCCGTCTCCAGGACCATGTAGGGTGACTATGGACCTGCCGTCTCCAGGACCATGTAGGGTGACTATGGACTGCAGGACCATGTAGGGTGACTGTGGACTGCTAAGATGACCTGCCGTCTCCAGGATGTAGGGTGACTGGACTGCCCAAGATGACCTGCCGTCTCCAGGTAGGGTGACTATGGACTGCTCAAGATGACCTGCAGTCTCCAGGACCATGTAGGGTGACTGGACTGCTCAAGATGACCTGCCGTCTCCAGGACCATGTAGGGTGACTGGACTGCTCAAGATGACCTGCCGTCTCCAGGACCATGTAGGGTGACTGGACTGCTCAAGATGACCTGCCGTCTCCAGGACCATGTAGGGTGACTGTGGACTGCTCAAGATGACCTACCGTCTCCAGGACCATGTAGGGTGACTGGACTGCCCAAGATGACCTGCCGTCTCCAGGACCATGTAGGGTGACTATGGACTGCTCAAGATGACCTGCCGTCTCCAGGACCATGTAGGGTGACTGGACTGCTCAAGATGACCTGCCGTCTCCAGGACCATGTAGGGTGACTGGACTGCTCAAGATGACCTGCCGTCTCCAGGACCATGTAGGGTGACTATGGACTGCTCAAGATGACCTGCCGTCTCCAGGACCATGTAGGGTGACTGTGGACTGCTCAAGATGACCTACCGTCTCCAGGACCATGTAGGGTGACTATGGACTGCTCAAGATGACCTGCCGTCTCCAGTACCGCTGCCCCCAGACGTCACCTCTGTGGACACAAAACGTCATCAATGACGTAGCCGGTACTGGTGAAACTAGGAAATCCCACTAACCCACTGGGGAGTTGACAGTGTGCTCTGTAGCACACACTAGGTGGCGCTGGTCTTGAGGCGTCACCTCACCAGAGGTCACTCACTACGACCCCTCTGGCTGACCAAGGCAGGAATCTTTAGCCATTTGCAGGTACTAGATAGACACCACCAGATGGCAGTGTCCGTATTACGTCCGAACCCGTGGGGGGTTAGAGAGCCGACTCACAGATGGCGCTGACGTCGCTACTCCAAGCTCCGATGATGTAGTCGGGTTCGTAACATCCTACAACCCGTCCTCCTACAGCCCGTCCTTCTACAGTCTGTCCTCCTACAACCCGTCCTCCTACAACCCGTCCTCCTACAGCCCGTCCTTCTACAACCCGTCCTCCTACAACCCGTCCTCCTACAACCTGTCCTCCTACAACCCGTCCTCCTACAACCCGTCCTCCTACAACCCGTCCTCCTACAACCTGTCCTCCTACAACCCGTCCTCCTACAGCCCGTCCTTCTACAACCCGTCCTCCTACAACCCGTCCTCCTACAACCTGTCCTCCTACAACCCGTCCTCCTACAACCCGTCCTCCTACAACCTGTCCTCCTACAACCTGTCCTCCTACAACCTGTCCTACAACCCGTCCTCCTACAACCTGTCCTCCTACAACATGTCCTCCTACAACCCGTCCTCCTACAACCCGTCCTCCTACAAACCGTCCTCCTACAACCTGTGCTCCTACAACATGTCCTACAACCTGTCCTCCTACAACCCGTCCTCCTACAACCCGTCCTCCTACAACCCGTCCTCCTACAACCCGTCCTCCTACAACCCGTCCTCCTACAACCCGTCCTCCTACAACATGTCCTCCTACAACCCGTCCTCCTACAACCCTTCCTCCTACAACCCGTCCTCCTACAACCCTTCCTCCTACAACCCGTCCTCCTACAACCCGTCCTCCTACAACATGTCCTCCTACAACCCGTCCTCCTACAACCCGTCCTACAACCCGTCCTCCTACAACCCGTCCTCCTACAACCCGTCCTCCTACAACCCGTCCTCCTACAACCCGTCCTCCTACAACCCGTCCTCCTACAACCCGTCCTCCTACAACCCGTCCTACAACCCGTCCTCCTACAACCCGTCCTCCTACAACCCGTCCTCCTACAACCTCCTCCTATAAATAACGTCGCCATTCGCTCGTATGCGTTACAAACGACCAAAAATAATAGTACTACAAAATGGAAGCAGCTGGCGAAAGTGCCATACTGTTCCCGTTTTCTGTTTTGGGTCCTCTGGTAGGTTAGGACAAGGGCACTTTAGTACGACCGTTTCTTGACATTGTGGAGGCTTAGGAGGACCGGGTGTGCGGCCCTCATGTGCCCTCAGCACACTGGCAACCCGTTCTCGCACTTGCTTATAGTCAATATTGGCTTATTTTATAAGTGCATATGTGACATACTAATTGATTGTGAATATTTTAGTTTACCTTGAAAAGCTTCATAGAAAACACCGACCTCACCTAACCTTCTTAGTATGTTAAGATAAGCATCTTATTGCTTCTTATTTACAATTAGTACTTAACCTGTTATGTTCCTGAGCCTCGCTCGTGATGTGCACATAGGCCTACATGTGTGTGTGTACTCACCTAGTTGTGCTTGCGGGGGTTGAGCTCTGGCTCTTTGGTCCCGCCTCTCAACCGTCAATCAACTGGTGTACAGATTCCTGAGCCTACTGGGCTCTATCATATCTACATTTAAAACTGTGTATGGAGTCAGCCTCCACCACATCAC